AATTTAACTGGAGATACTCAAAATCACCTGCGTTAATTGCCGAATAAATACGCCGCAATTATGTGTGAGCTGTCAAATAAGCGCTCGTGATAATATGGCGTGAGTCTAAATATAACTGTACGAAAAAGCATCTGACAATTGCAATGCACACAAATTATACATGCGAACGACGTACCGTGGAATCAACTGATTTAGAAAAAAAAAACTGATTAACTAAGCTAAAAATTGCAGTACTCGAGACCAGACTGGACTGCGGCACTCAGCCAAGAGTTAAGTGCGCATTTTCGCATTTTCGTCTAAAACGCCGCGTTTTCGTTTATTTGTGTGCGTGTGAGTGTGTGTCTTGCGTGTTAGCTCCGCTTCTCTAATTGCTATTTGCACTAGACTTGGCACTTTCAATGCCCACAATCAGGCGGCGGACAGACAGCCGAGACAAGCGCACACACAATGCAATCAATAATCAATAGTAGTTAATCACTAATCAGTAATCCGTAATGAATGAGGACGCCATTTACGATTGAATTACAGCATATCTACCACGTAGTTGTAAAGTTGTGTGTAACGAAAGGCAAATATGTGCATACATATGTGTGTGTGAGTATGTCTAAGCAGTGAATGATAGTGCGACGCCTACAACGTACCGAAATTAAGTGGTTAGTGCGAAGATTCACACACACATAAACATGCATGTATTACAATTGCGTCGTTAAGTTTGTAAAAAACAGCTACGTAATATATGTACATATGTAAATAGCTATGCGTCTATATTTACATGTGATTTTATTTGTTTTTCTGGTTTTTAAACACATACATACATAGCGACATAAAAAGTATGTGTTTATTCAGGTATATACATACATACTATGTACATACACATATGTGTGCATGTATGTGCATACATTTGTTTTATGGCGCTTGTGGCTTTATCAGGCTGCCGCTACGGCGCGCTACGTTCTGGCGGCGGCCCTTCAATTTATGAGCCGGATTATTAACTAACGTCAGCACAGGCAAATCACCCGCATGCCGGTAAGAACTGAACGTACATACACATACACATCCAAGTCACCTGCTTACGGACATAAGTACGTAAGTAGGTATGTATGTACATATGTACGCAGTTCACAATTCTCATTACACCGTTCTATGGCGTCGTTATGAATGAAGTGCCCAACAATTAAAATAGTAAATAGTCATGTTTGTGTTTGTGTGCGTGTGTGTTTGTGCTTTTGTTTTGATTTTTGCTTGCGTACTTGGGGTACATACATACATACGTATATGTGTAAGTATGTATGTAGCAGGTAGCGTCAAGAGGTGTTTGCTCTCTGCTATTATCGCTTTCAATGGCAAATGTGTTATAAAAAAAACAAAGTGAGATACAATTTTTTGCGTTTTTCGTTTTTAATTATTTTTGTTTGTAATTTTTTAAAAGTTTTAATAGTAAAATAATATGTATATGTATCCCAGTGCCACCTTATTGTAAATTTTGACAGCGAAAATTAATTCCTTGACTCTTAAGATATAACAGGTCAATTGAAAGATCCTCGACCTACCAAATTAAAACACTTTGTGTTTTGGTAAAATCCGATTTTTATATTATTCTGTCCCTTCCCTTCCGTTTTGTTCGATAATCAGTTTCCATCTAGACGGCAACTGCATAATACCACCCTCGTAGCAGCCCCCCTCCTTATTTGCGAAGAACTCGGATAGCCACTTTTCACAAGCCTCTTTTGAGTTCAGCTTTACATCAACAAGGGTATTCGTCATGGACAAGTACGTTCAGGTTATAAGGTGGATGCGATAAAACCTGCCATCCGAGCTCCCGTAGCTTCTGACGAGTCATCGGCGAAGTGTGTGGTCTGGCGTTGTCCTGTTGGAACACTACACCCTTCCTGTTGGACGCTTCTAGTCGATCGCCTGCTTCAAGCGGTTCGGTTGTTAGCAGTAGATGGTAGAATTAAGCGTCTGGCCATATGTGAGCCGCTCATAGTGGTTGATTCCTTTCTAGTACCACCAAACTTTTGACCGTCAATTCCGGATTGGCCACTATTTAGGACGATTCACCGGCGTTCGACCACGACCGTTTTTCGATTGATATTGTCGTATGTGATCCAATTTTCGTCGCCAGTCACCATCCGCTTCAAAAATGAGTCGAGTTCGTTCCATTTCAGCAGCATATCGCAGACGTTGTCATCAAATCATGCGGCACCCAAATATCAAGCTTTTTTGTGTATTCAGCCTTCTGCGTATATTTTAAAATGATTTGGTGACTAACTTCCATCTTCTGGGCGATGTCACGAGATGCCACCGGCCGATCTAACTCGATGTTTTCCATGACAAAAAAGAAGGAAGATATTTGACAACCTAATATAACATATACATATGCATGTATGTACATATGTAGTTTCCTTCAAGGGTGATACATTGATTAAAGCGACCTTCAAATTTTTCCATAAAATTTTTAGTATTTTATTTTTGTAGTATGATTTGTCTTTTGCTTCAAAATAGGCTTCAGTTTCAGTGATCACCTCATTACTCGACGAACATGCCTTCCCAGCGAACATTCTTTTGTGGCCTGAGAACAGAAAATATTTTTTTTATGGGTTAAATGGCAGCTGTTGAATCTCTTCAGGTTGCACTTCCTCCCAATTTGGGTAATTTTGCTTCTTTACTTACCCATTACGTCAGAAAGGGACCTCATCAGATTTTTTCGGAACTTTGCAAAAGCCCATAGAGTAAAGTTATGTCGCTTGGGTAGGTTGTGCGGCTTCTGGTTCAATTTAGGATCTCGGTGCCGAATCGACTTTCTACGGTCTTCATGTAAACTCTCTGCTATGGCTGCTATACTTTCTTTATTGTATGCGGGACCTGGTCTATTCGATCGAATATTATTCAATAATGAATGGTGAATCTCAATAAATATTACTTAACAGCTCTTAAGACTCACGCGTGATCTGTCAAAAAAAGGTTATTGAAAAACTTGGGTCATCTGTTAAATCTCTGGATCCAAGCAATTTAACTTTCTTGCCATAAAACCAAGAAAATAATAGCTGTTTGGTAGGCACACCGGTTTTTCTCGAAGAACTTCTGTTAGATACCTTTATTTGTTTACCCTTGGTTCCACCGATCTTAAGTATGAAAATCCTAATGACACTTCCCGCATTCCGCCATAAATATGAGTAAATATTTATTTATTTCTCTTCAATGTCCTCGTACACGCTCGCGTTTTATAGGAGATTACGGGAAAGACCGATGTTTATTTGGCGCGACGTTAACTCGAGCCTTGTCCACAGTCAACGACCGGAAAAGGTTAATTTTGTGCAAGCGATTAAAAGAATATAAATCAAGCGATTATCAATTTTGAAATACTTGCCATTGGAATGCAAACTATAAATAACAAATTAGTACTTTTCGATATTTTTATGCCATGGCAAGTACATAGATAAGGCGTACAGACATTTGTCAGTCAAGGTTTATTTGCGTCGACGTCCTCTTGGCGAATTAAGTGAAGTAAACCATTAGAAAATTTTAGTCATTTGCACGGAAATTGAATATGAAATTCAGGCGGCTGAAAGGAATTAGTGCCACACGCGAAAAATATTTTGTTTGCACGGAGTTAAAATTTATTAATAAATATTTACCGTAGAGGACTTTAGACTGCTTAGAAAGTGGTAAGATTAATTAGGCTTTTTTCCAAGGTAGTTCGGCGATATGGTTGGTGGTTGTTGTGTTGACATTAAGTGCTTTTTTTCTGGTGTGGGTCCTTCTATGTAGGCCATTTGGCTGCTAAGATAGGAGGTGATTCTCGCTACCTTCCCTGTGGCGTGCCGGATTTCTACCCGGAAGGTTTTACGCCTAGGTAATTCACAGTTTTTTATGCCCTTAGATTATTACGAGAAGATGGTGCCTGTTCGTCAGCAGTAGTAGTTCTGTTTCATCAGTAGCTAGCTGGAAGTTATGTGAGTCCAGCCATGCTTGCGTCCGAATCATGACCTGCTTCAGCTTTCTTTGGGCTTCCTCTGTGTCTCGAGCTGTGATTACTGCTGCTATATCATCCACTTAGCCGAATCAATACGATTCATCTGGCATTTCCAATTTTATTATTTCGTGGTCCCTCTCTAGGCTGGTACAGCATTTTCCTGTTACTGAGATAGCTCCTGACCACAGCTTTAGGTAACCGGGTATTCTAAATTTCGCTCGACCATATCTGGACTTCTCGGGCGATTGAAGACGTTTCGATTGTCTAAAGTCGCCAACAGAACTACTCAGCTATGTTCATAGTGGCACGCAAATTAAGCTGCAATGCGAAGTAAACTGGTTAATCAATCCCTTTTAAGTAATCGAATCTCTCATTAGGGTCCTCTGTTCCACATACTATTGCGATTTTAGTAGTCTTACTTCTTCAAAAGAGTTAGGTGTGCTTTTATGATTTTTGAACCAACCTGTGCACATGACTTTTCTATTATTATAATAAAAATTTTATTGTTTTCGTCGTAATTTTCTACTGTTGCAAAATAATTACTCAACAGCAATAACAATATTTCCGCTTAATTATCTAGCAGCAAATTTGTTGCTAAATTACTTCATTACCCCCAATTATGTGTAATAATCATATTCATTACACGCCAAAAGCATGTCTCAGATAAAAATCGATAATTAGCGATTATATAGCAATAAATATTCCGCAGTACGCTTCCGAGTTACACAAAACAAATAAAATTATTAACGAAACAATTGGAAAACTAACATTTATATGCCGATAGAACCTTGTGATAGCATCAGAACTACCGTAAATGAGAATGTTTGGTTCCATTGAAACAGCATTTGACATAATTTACCGCTGCACAATGCTCTTCAAATGGAACATGCAACAGTTATGAACTTCCGAAATGTGGGATAATAATCTAGGGTGTCATATATGTATGTATATTTGCATTGGTATAGCACAGAAGCGAGATTTTGGTATAAATAACCTGTTAACGGTAAGCGAATGAGTAGTTCCTGAATTCTGTTATTATCTGAGGACTGAAAATGAAGAGCAACTTCGGTATATTTTTGGCGCTACTTGTGCTGCTGGTGAGTTGGAGATATCTAAATAAAATAAATAAATAATAAAAAAAAATT